CGACCATTGTAAACTTTTTCATCGAGAATACATCTGACTGGTCCATTGCTGACCAATTATATTTTACCATATATGGATGCTCCTGGGTGTTTTTTTTTCTAATGGTGAAAACCGCAGGTCGCTAGCTGCATCCGTTCAGGAGATATTCCTCCTTGAGTTTTCTCCATCTACTTCTGGCGCCGACATTAGTATCTTTCATAAACAGCAACAAAGAGAAGAGATGATCTAGAGTTCTACAAAAAAAGCAATTGATTCAGGGTTCACTTGATGTCTTTCTGCTTCTAAAATTCGATTGCTTGTTGTTGATAACACTAGAATGGGATGCGGTCTTGGTGCCAAACGTCATAATTGTGGATACATACATGAATGCTTTTTTCATCACGATAATACATGTTCACCATTTTTGATAATTCATTTTCCTCCTCGTGTATTCAGCTACTTCGTTGTATGGTTTAGCATCATCTGTAGATGAATTATCTTTTGTATCAATTAAAAAACCATTATGACCGTGTTGACTACCATTTTTTTTTGATCGTACACAATAGTAATGATGACATTTTATAAAATTTTCATTATACCGTTACTTTCCCTCCAAAACTGGACTACTTTCATCATTAGCAGACTTTGAATTGACACTTTTTCATGCATCAAAAATGTTTCCTACATTTCTGCAAATCAAATACATTAAAAATAATCAATGATTTGAGTAAACTCGTCTTATCCTTCTTCATGATATAGTTTAATCTGAAATGACAACATTAGTTGTGCATGATCATTATTATCTAGCACATTAGATATAAGCAAATAGGATAACAGCTAAATTTTGTTCCTGTCATCGTTTTAATTGTTATTTAGAAGCTTGAGAAACAAACTAAGTCCTCACAAATTAATCTTTTCTAGGTACTAGTCTCAATCCAACGAAATGTTCTCTGGAGGATTAGAAAAAGTGGTACCGTTTCAGTCTCAATACTTTCACTTGGCATTTAAACGAGCTTTTTTTCATTAAATGCTTTGCTTCTCACCGTTCTAAATATCAGAAGATAAAAGAAAAACGTTAACTGCCTTATTGAAATAAATGTTAGAATCTCAAATATTTTATCATGAGTATGGTTTAACCAGTGAACTATCGAATATATAACTTTAAATGCCATTGAAAGTTTCGTTTAATATGTTAAATTATTACATCGTTTATGATAATGGTATGTAGAATTTTTTTCAAAATCATCAATAGCATTTCAAGGAACATGATTGAAATTAAAACTAATTATTGTTATATTTATTCAGGATTTACATTCATGGTGAAAATTTTCAATTTGTACAAGATCAGCTGAATTCCATATACGTCTTTGTTTTAATGTGTTTGCTCTCATATATGCGTGAAGTCAATCATCTATTATGTAATCAATTTTTTAGAGATTTCGATCATTTTTCTACACGAAAATAAGGAAGATAATTTTTGCTCAATCCATGTTATGAAACGAGCTAATGAATTTTTTATTTCATCAAATGCTCAAAGTAGTAAGCCTTATTATTGACAAACATTTTCATCCATTCAATCCATTCATCAAAAGTTGTTTTTTACAGTCGTTTTTACTTAATAAATTCATTATTCTAGTTAAGACGCTAAGCAACAGTTCAGAGTTATTTTCATCCGTCAGATTACATTGGATCGAGTTCAATAGCTAAAAATCAAATGGTGCCAGGTACGAAAAATTAGATGTTTCTATATGACGGAATAAAATAAGGGCAATGGTCTTAAAAAATATACAAAATTAGATTTTTGAAGCAAAGCGACTGTGTCGAACTGAAGGAGGAAAACTTGTCAGGTACCTGCCCAGTTTCTATGGCATTCTACGAAAACAAAATTTCAACAAGTTAGTATATTGAAGACTTAGTAGCATTTTGTAGTCAAGTGCTAAGAGTTCATAACGTACTGAAGTATTTAAAGATTCCTGTAATATATTTGTAGCAAAGTACTCTAAGCTCAGAGTAATCTTCTTTTGTCCTAAACAAAGATTCAGATGTTCATAATAGTGTATCTGTTCAAAGAGCATAAATGAATTAATTTGCATTTCATTATTCCATGAAAAAATTTTCCTTTTCTTTTTATTGCACAGAAAAAAATCTTAGCATGAGTATTGCTATTTTAAAATCGAATATTTGATTTATTTTTAAAATATACTTATTGAAAAAAAAACTTTATGTTAAACAAAAAATGTCTCGAAGTGATAGCGAAATATTAGGCACAAAATAATTTCCATTTTAATGAAAAAAAAAAAAAGTCAAATATTTCTAAAATATCTTTTCGTAGTGGTAAATCTATATCATCAAATAGTCTAAAACAAACTTTATTTATAATTTTTATTAAACAATGGATAATTTACTTACCTGAAAATGTTTAAAAAAATATCTTTCAGAAAATGCTGCAATACCATTAAATTGAGTAAATATTATTTTTTCATTTTGATGATAATTCAAGTAAAACAATCGCTTGTCTTATGAGTTGATTATCAATAGTGTTCATATATGCATCAAACAATGCATCGACAAGAACCTATGAACTTTCATATGTTTAATTATTTTAACAATATCATTGAGAAATTTTTTATTTATTACCTCTATGTTTAATTCTGCTTCAATATCTTTATATTTATCAAAAATAGGTTTATAAATGTATATCAACTAGGATTTACTCTACAAGATTTTGCTAAATATTCTTTAGGTATAAATATTAAACAAGCATATTCATTTGTCTTTTTTTCGTATTGTTTACTGATAGGTTTTACTTTCAAAGGATTTAATATTGAAAGATATCAAAAATCAACTTCCTTTTTAAGATAGAACAACATTACTAGTACTTATATATGAATTACATGTTTGTATAGTCAAAAACAAATTACATTTATACATACAAGTGAATTGCTTGAATATCGTGATAATGCATATATGCATTTTGGATATTGTAATAACGATCTTAACTTTGACCAATGTATAAGAAAAGCAAGTTTCTTTTCAAGGTTTTCAAGAGTGCTCTATCAAAACATTCAGCTAGTATTTTTCAGTATGAACATTTTCTTTTCTTTGTTGTTTTTTGTTCCAATGGTACAAATGAAATACAATTCATCTGTATATGGTATCATTATATTAATTTTATTTTTAATTTGTGAATAAATACTTAACTCTATTATATATGCTTAATAAAAAAATCACCTGTAATCAAATCAATTTTATTTATAATGACATAAAATTTTAAAAAATTCATTGCATAAAAATTTCACTAGATTTTGTTTGAAAATAAAGTCATTACATATAATTTCATTTTGATGCCAATTGAAAATATATTTTAAAAAATCAATTATTATCATTTTCAATAAAATAAATCACAAAAAACAATAAATACACTAATTAATTATTAAAAAAAAATCTAATAAAATTAAGAAAATATTTTCAAATACCTACGATAATTTTGACACTTTTTTCTGTTTGTTAAAATAAAAATAGTTTCAGTTCAATTTGGAAAATATTACAAAATATTTATTAATAAGAATACATTTAACATCTTCAATATTAAATATTCATAATAAAAAAACAAATTATCATATTGTTAATCATCTAACGATATTTTTATTCATATCTGACAGTTAATTTTTTTTTCTACGAATGTAAATCATCGGTTAAACATCTATCGATCTTACTGAATATTTTCTGTCTGCATGATTCAATAAAAAGAAACGTTCGTTTCCTTCTAGGGAGTGAGTCTTGGTGTTGGTTTCGAACACATCCCAGAGTATCTAACTGATGACGGAAGTGGCACGAGGAGGCCTACAGATCCACACGTTCGTCACATCTTGTACGTACGCCACGTGAATCTGCTCAGTTCAGGCATGGATAGGCAGTCGCTTCTCCATCACCGGTGACGATCTCTGATCACGCGTGGGGATACAGGTAAGTGTGTGTTTAGGAGCGAGAAGAAAAAGAAGCTGAAGCTTCGTGAAAAACAATACTTTTTCGAAAAAGAAAAAGAAATTTATTATCTCACAACAGACGAAGGAAAAATCCAAGAACAATATGCACTCGTTTGTTGGGTGCAAAAACACGAATAAACATTCAAAGTCATTTTTCGATAGAGAATCGTTGAACTCGATAATTCCACCCGTCAACGACAAACATATTGCCATGTCGATCGAATGACAAACCTGTAGGACCATTCAACTGGTTTGCTCTTTCTCCCCAATAATTTCCACCAACAATCACATTTCCCTGTGTCGTTCCAGTGCACCAACGCATAACTCGAATATTTCCAAAATCTGCTACATAGACTTTATCCAAAGTATCAACGATCACTCCTTTGGGATTCGACAATTGATTCAGAGCATTTCCTTCAATTCGATCGCCAGCCACGATAATACCTTCTTTGGCATCCTTCACCCACTTCGTTACACGATGATTCTTCCATTCCGATACGTAAACAGAATGATCTCGATCGACAAAGATGAAACTGGGCCAGTTGAGTTGATTGAGACGATTGCCTTGTCCATTACCACCCGCTACTACGATTCCATTCGTCTCTCCAATTCGGTATCGTCTTACTTCATGGTGTTCATTACCAGAGACATAGAGAAATCTCTGATCGTCCATTGTTAATCCAAAACAAGCGATATTCTCGATGACAATTTCTCCACTTGTTCGATTTTGACGAGACCATCGCATCACTCGTCGATTCCCGTGGTCGCAGATGATGAGACTGTCTGTTTCTTTGTCGACAATCACATCTGTTGGTCCACTCAACTGATTGGGTCGATTTCCTCGTCCATTGCCACCAGCTACTACTTGACCACTCATTGCACCAGACTTCCATTCAACAATACGGTCATTTCCGCCATCAGCAATATAAACAGTTTGATCGTCATCCACATAGATACCCCAAGGGTAATCGAGTTGGTTTAATCCATTGCCTTTTCTATGACCTCCAGCGACTGTCACTCCGTCCTGTGCCCATCTCGCATGTTCTGGAATATTCGGCGTGGCACCTGTACAGAGAAAAAAAAGTAAATTCTCGATGAGTTTCATCAGCACATCCGAGTAGAATATTTATGGTATTCTGTTGAAATTTTCCAGAAAGTCTGGAAAACTTCTAAAATTTTAGCGAATCCTTCGGAAATTTTTACGGAATAGTTTCCTAATTTTCTCCCAGCTTCTCGGAGTTTTCATGAGTTTTGTTAGATTTGTCGAATTTTTCTTTAACAATAATCCGGAATACACCGAGTTTGCTTTGGTATTTGATAGAGTTTAAGATTTCTGCAGAATTGCCTGAAACTACATATAATTTTCTCGAATCTTGTTTGGTCAGTCTTTCTGCCTTCTCATTATCTCTGCTGCCATTATCCCTGTTTTCATCGGAATAAAGCGGAGATTTTAGAGACATTTTCTGAGCTTCTTGAAGATTTTGACACGTTTCTCAAAATAGTTCATAATCTGGAAAGTTTCGTGTGCATCGTGCGAAATTTTTTGGTCTCTCATGCAGTTTTATGGTATCTTCATAACATGTACGAAATTTTAATTTTTCTAATTTGCAGAATTTGTCCAAGTTTCCCTCGAATAATCTGGAATCTAACGGAAATAGTTCTTTGCAATTGCGAAGACATTCGAATATCTGCAGCTGTCCGAAATTTCGTCGAACTGTGTGATATTTCTAGTAATCTTCTTAATTCTTTGAGTTCGATGGTATCACAAATGCTACACATGCTTTGTGATTATTTTTCACAATATATTTGATGAAAATTAGTGCTTAATCTCGCACATTTACAAAAGATTTGTGTACAACAAGGGTGAAGCATAGGTGTCATGGCATATACTTAACTCTATGTGGTTCTTTGTTCTCTTTCTTTCTTTACGTATATATATATTAACCAGAGTTGCCAGATGACAAACTCAAATATCCGGAATTCAAGTCTCAAAATTCGGAAAATTCCGAAATATTTATTTTGAAATCCGGAAAGATTTTTGAGGGTGAGTTTTAACTGCTTAAAAAGCGTTTTATTCATATAGATTATGAATAACGATATTCTTTAAATATAAACAATATATTTAGATAAAAATACTACACATCAAAATATAGTTAATTCAATTCTAAGAACTTATCAATTATACATTACGCTCTTAATTTACACGTTCTTTTTAGTACAAATTGATTGATACATTCCATACATATTACTTGACTTTTATCTGATTCATATTCTTTTCGAAATTTGAATTCATTTACCCATTCGAATCTGAATACTTCTGTTCTATTCTCTTCATCATTTTTTTTTGTATTTAGACACTTACATTTGATATTTGTTGTGTTCTTGGTGATAGTTCATTTTCTACTAAAATCTCTGCCTCTTCGTTTTCATCAAACATTGTCAAAGTATAAGAGAAAAATAAATTCACAATGCAAATTTTACTAAAAAAAAAAAAGAAACTAATGAATCTTCTAGGTAGACCAATAGAAGGCAACTCTATAAAACTCTATTGAATCAGTAATAATTAGTTTATAATGTTAACCAACAGATAAAATAATATTGAGATTGAGATAACATATCAGGTATATTGCGAAGTATGCTATATGATGGAGTTTTCCATCTAATTATTTCTATATTTACGTCCAGTTTTTTCTACTAAAGTATATGTGGTTTTTTCATTTTGAAAATAAACTTATTATATATCAACTAATACTAACCTATCAATCGGTTTTCTTGCTAATTCATTTCTACAATAAAATTCATCGAAAAAACAGAAGTGAATGGATTCAGATCAAGAAAGTAATACAAGCGGTTCATTGCTTGATGAATAAAACGATTTTGACGACGAGAGCGTGAGAGATCTTCAAGACGATCAAGATGAAGAAGAACTTGAACATAATCGGAGTGAAAAATGTATCCAAGACACAGTTTTCTCTCCAAAGCAAGTGAAAGGACGAACAACCATCATTTTTACCAAAACCATCAAACCGATTGACGTTTTCAACAAATTTTTCACAAAAGATGTTATTGAATTGATAATGAAGCACACAAATATATACGGAGAGAAAAAATCTTTGGCACAGAATCATATAAATGATTGGTAACAGATGAATGAAAGTGCTATTCGTTCTTTCCTTGGTTTACTGGTCATTATGGGTTTACATCGATTGCCTCGACTAAGAGATTATTGGAATACAAACAAAATATTTCATACAGAAGTAGTTGCTGATGTTATGTCGAGAGATGAATTCTACCGAATATTTACTACGTTTCATTTAGCAGATAATACAAAACAAGATGAATTTGAAAAAAGTTCTCATCAATTCAAATTATTCAAAGTTTTCGATTTCATTTCATCACTGACAAGAAACTTTTAAGAAAGTTTTACTTTGAAAACCAACGTCTGTATCAGAGATGTCCACAGGGCGCTTTTTTCCGCCCTGCCCTGCCCTGCGAAAAAAACGGTGCACAAAAAAAATTGTGCCCTGCCCTGCAGGACAGGGCAGGGTAGGGCATAGATAAAAGTTCAATTGCCCCCCAAGATGCCAAAAATTTCCTTGTAAAAGATTTGGATTAAAAATTTGATTAAAAATGAATAATAATGATACTATTGTAATCTGATTTTAATCGGGATATTTCAGCTTTAACATGCGGCTTTTTTTAATTTTGATTTCATTTTAATCTTTTTTAGTCGATTATTATAGTGGTTTTAGTATTCAATTAAAATAGATTAAAATGAAATCAACGTAAAAAGGAATAGTCTTTTAAGCTGAAAAATCTAGTTAACATCAGATTATAATAGTGCCATTATAATCGATTTTTAATCTAATTTTTATTCGAATATTTTTACATGAATTTTTCTGATTTATTATTTAAAATACAAACATTACTTTTTGTCTGTTGATAGAAGGTGTTGCAATTGACGAGATGTATGCAATGAATTAGTTGTAGTAGCAGAGATGCTTGAGCAAGAAGAAATAGGAACAATAATCTCATTAATAGGAGTAGAACGAATATCAACAAGTAAATCATCAGTCGTCAAACTCATAGTTCTGCTGGTGCTTTGCGCAGTTAATCACAAACAAATGACCGGCAAGTACAAATATATATCCACTAAATATGCACCTCATCCAAGTCTAGTCAAGTTCAAGTCTAGGTCTGGATTTGAATTTGACTAGATTTGACTAGACTTAAACTTAATATATTTCCACAAAATTGTAATTTTTCATTGTCAAGACCCCTTAAATTCAATCAAACCCAAATTCAAATACAGTTAAAACTGGAAATTGGATTTGACAGGAATCAGATTCGATGCATCGACAATATCCATCGTTGTGATTCCTTTGTTTCTCCAATAATTTCTACTATTCTCATTGTAATGTACCGTTACCTTGCCATCACAATTAGTCTGTTACGAGCTGATAATGAAATCTTTCTTGTTCTTCTATTATGCCACATTTTTTAGATAAATAAAAAAGCTTTTTATAAAACGAAACTTTTGATTCCAATGAGCAGGGCGTAAAGGTCTCGTCCTGCCCTGCCCTGCCCTGTGGACATCTCTGGTCTGTATTCACGAAAGCATGATCAAATTTAAAGGAAGAAATTTGTTGAAGCACTATGTACCTTCGAAGCCCATCAGGCGAGGATACAAAGTATGGTGTTTGGCAGATTGTTCAACCGGATATCTTTATAATTTCAATATATATTCTGGCAAACAAGAGAATAGACAAGGAACATTAGGCGAGGATCTTGTATTGAAGCTTACTAGCAAAATTAATCTAGTGGAACACCAGTTATTTTTTGACAACTATTTTACATCGATCACCCTACTATTACAATTCAAAAGGAAGATAATCGGAGCAACTAATTAGTACAATCAGAACTGATCGGAAGTTATTTCCAAAAAGAACTCTTACAAAAAGACAAACAAAACGAGATGAATATAAATATTGTACTTCTAAACAAATATCAGTCGTCAAGTGACAAGACAAGAAACCGATATTTATTTCAAGTAATTTTTTGATCCGAGAAAAACGGAAACAGTTACTAGAAAGGAAAAAGATGACTCGAAACAAGTTATTATTCGTCCACAACTCGTATTTCAAGAGAATACATACAAAGGTGGTGTTGACATGTTTGATCAACGAATCTCTTGCTATTCAATTGACGGAAAATCCAAGCGAAACTGGATCCTTATATTTATTTACATTCTTCAAGTAAGTCTTGCGAATGCATTCTTCTGTTATAATGATTTGAGTGAACAGAAGATGGGGTACGTAGAATTTCTTTCTTCTGTCTCCACGTCACTAATTGGTGATCAAAACCCATCGAAAAAAAAAGGTGAATCCATTCACTTTTCCATCAAAAAGCGAAGGCAAATTCAACAAACGTTGCAGAACAAATCTTCATCAAGTAAATTGCTAGCACATATGCCTATAGCTGATTGTAGAGAAAGATGCCGATACTGCAATACAAGTTCTAGTCCAGTGTTTAGCAGCGTAAAATGCAGTTTTTGTAGTGTTTCTCTTTGTATGAAGCGACATAAAAAATGTTTTTTGTCATTTCATGAAACATGTGTATTAAGTTTGTAATTAATAAACTTTACAACTAAAATTTCCATTCAAGAACAACAAAATTCAATAAAACTTACATTGAGTAAATTATCTAAAATGAGCTAATCTGACAGTCTCGTTGAAGTCAATTCAGAAAAAATAATTTCGGACTCCACGGGTTCAAGAAAAAGATCTATTTTTAATACACAGTTTTTCTTTTTAGATTTACATGTCATAGAAAAAATTAGATAGTACATTTGTCCAGTGAATACTGCCATAGAAAAGAAAAGAAAATTGAGCTTTAGAAGTAGTTCTATTCTCTCCTGTGTCTCGATGGTCTCAGCTAGTAGTCTTTCTGGAACTGCTATGAGGAGAAAGGAGGAAAGATGTGAAGAAATAAAATGGAGCTCTAAATTGGTCATGGCTCAATAGTGGCTTTCAGTTGGTATCTATAGGGCAAGAGCTATTGAAGCTTGAAGTAAGACTGGTACTCCATAAAATCATATGAAGATTT